CTCCCTTTTTTTCTGTTAAATATACTTTTTAAAGCCTGCTAACTTTTTACGAAGAGGTAAGTAGAGATCTGGATGGAGGGAGGCCGGTGGATGTGGTATACTTGGACTTTACTAAAGCATTTGACACAGTACCACATAAACGTTTACTATACAAGCTGAGGTCTAAGGGCATAGACAAATTATTGTGTACATGGATAGAAAACTGGCTACAGGAACGGGTACAAAGAGTATCGATAAATGGCACCTTCTCGGATTGGGCTAGGGTCATGAGCGGCGTTCCGCAGGGGTCTGTGCTGGGCCCCATGCTGTTGAATCTATTAATTAACGTTATTGGAGAGGGGGTAAACAGCCACGTTTCAGTGTTTGCTGATGATACCAAAATCAGGAGGGGAATAGGCACTGAATCTGACGCTATAACATTACAGGGGGATCTGGATAAAATAGGGGAGTGGGCAACCACATGGCAGATGAGGTTTAATGTAGATAAATGTAGAGTTGTGCACTTTGGGGTTAAAAACAAGAAAACGGATTACACATTAATGGGAGCTCCCCTCGGAAAGTCCGAAAGGGAAACAGATTTGGGGGTCATTGTAGACCACAGGCTGAATAATAGCTCGCAGTCTCAGGCTGCGGTAAACAAAGCAAGTAGAGTAATTTCCTGTATTAAGAGGGGAATGTTTGCAGGGAGAAGTCCGTAATTGTGCCACTTTATAGATCACTGGTTCGGCCTCATCTGAAGTATGCGGTCCAGTTTTGGGCACCAGTGAACAGAGGGGATGTCCTTGAACTGGAAAGAGTCCAGAGGAGGGCAACCAAACTCATATGGAGGACCTGAGTTATGAGAACAGGCTACTAAAATTAAACATGTTCTCCTTGGAAGTAAGGAGATTAAGGGGGGGACATGATTTTCATGTATAAAATGTTTACCAGCAATAGCAAGGACGAGAGGCCACCACTTAAAATTGGCAGAGAAAAAATTTCAGTGCAAGGGGCGAAGGGGTTTCTTCTTAGATCGGTCAAGGTCTGGAACTCGCTGCCACATGCTGTGATTTCGGCTGAGAGTGTGGAATCATTCAAGAGGCGACTGGACGATTTCCTCAGGGACCGTATACAGGGGTACAAGTACTCTTAAGAATGAGAACACACAGGGACCTATACATACTACACACCAATAGGACCATACACACATAAACAAATAGGGTGGACTTGATGGACATATGCCTTTATTCAACCTCAAATACTATGTAACTATGTAAAAGCATTTTGTAAAATCTGCTTGACGGAAATCCATTGAGCTATTAGGTTCCTGTGCAAATCTCAAATGGTGTTATCAGCTCTGCCCAGTTCACCTCTGTAAACTATAGAACACCGTCTCTATGTTATGGAGATGAGGCCAGGCGTAGTCTTAACAAACTTCCTGTTTTAGGGGTGACAATGCTGCTCTTCCATAGATACAGCACAGTGAGTGGATGTTGTCACCCTAGGACAGGAAGTGTGTTACTACCAGGATCACCTAGTGAAAATAAAGACAAAACATCAAAAATGAAAACTGATGCAGCCACCACATCTAAGGATTGGTACGCAGGAATATATTACATTTTTGTTGTTGGGTTTAGATAAATTTTATGGTTATTTTGGGTGTTTAGATTCCCTTTCTTGGATATTTGATATTAAAGGAAGTTGGGAAACAGCTATTTGGAATCAGGTGGACTTAACATATTATGCTCTGCAAACTGCCATTGCCAGCACAAGAGATGCACCGGTACCGCTATAGGTGCCAGTGCCGAGTATTTGGGCAAGTGCTCATGCTCACCCAAATGCTCCGATACCGGAACTTCCAGTCAGAGGAAGTGCTATGAGGGAGCGTGGAGCCAGCTTCAGGGCCAATCAGGAAGCCAGGCGGCACCTCATGACCCGCCCCACAGATTCCTGATTGGGTAAGGAGTCGGCTTCACTCGTCGCTAGGCAGCCTGACTTCCTGACCAATCAGGTAGCCGGCGACACGTCATTATCCACCTCCCGTCTTCTTGATTAGCTAGGAAGCCAGCTTCATGCTGCCTAGCGACACTGTGAGGCAGCCTGGCTTTCCGACCAATCAAGAAGCTGGGTGGCGGGTCATGACCTGATTGGTCAGGCAGCCTCGCAGTGTCGCGAGGGAGTGTAAAGCCAGTGTTCTTTGGATAGAACACCGGCTTCCCAGGCTATCGGGAAGCCTACAGCCCGGCTTCCTGATAAGCCGGGCCCACAGTACCTCGGGATGCCGTTATCTCTACTTGGTATCCGTGTGTACCGAAAAGAAATATCAGTGCTCATACTCGATACTGAAAAACCAGTATTAGTGCATCCCTAGCCAGCAACCCTTCTCTCTTCTAGTCTCACCCCCTTCCCTTTTCCTCCTCCATTACCAATATTCTTACTATCAGTTGGTAGCACTCATTTGCTTTGTACTGTATTGTTGCCTCTCTTCATAGGAAAGAACAAATGTGTCACAAGATTTCTATATTGCCTGGCAAATTAATTTCTTAAATATATCTGATAACACCACAACAGTATAAACAGTCAAGGCATGAGGCAATATAATTAAAGAAAATTCCAGTAGACTCCGAATTGTTTTCATTATAAATGTTTAAAATGACAGTTTTATAATTAGGGATGAGCAGAGTGATTTCTGCTAAACTGATTTTGTGGCAGAATCACCAGAAGCTCTGAATTATATTGGTCTGTGTAGGTAAGTTATGCAGCTCAGTGTACATCCTCGGCATACCTTGGTGCCTGTATAAATTAACTCCTGTGAGCATGTGCAGAAGTTACATCATCCTAGGTCAGCCAATCAAAATGGGCAAAGATGCAGAACCCGGAATAAGACCAAGCACGCATCTGTGCCAGTGAGAAAGCTTGCACATGTTACATCACTGGAGAGGAGGTGAGTATTGAATAGTATACTGTAGTTCCAATTTAGAAGACCCTGTATTAACCAGAGCCTGCCGATCGTGTATATCTGCTGGCTGCGTGCCCCCCCTCGACTGCTACCGCCACCCCCCTCCGCTGCCCCATCTGCGGCCCGGGACCGGCTCGGGAGGGCGTCAGGAGGAAGAGGGAGGGAGATCAGCTCCTTACTGATCTCCCCCCGTGCTGTGAATGCAGAAGTGATGTGTATTACATCACTTCCGCATTCACCTGTCAGTCATCTGGCTGCTATAGCCAGAGAAAAGAAGCTGATGAAGCAGATCTCTGCTTCATCAGCTTCTTTTGGGGTCCCCAGGTGACATTAGGGGTCCTAGAGACCCCTAATGTCTCCATAAAGAGGACCTGTCAGTGTACCTGTGCTATTATATAGGGGAGTTTTTGAGGTTTCACACGCGCACGCAATTTTAAGGCTTGACATGTTTGGTGTCTTTGTACCCGACCTGACCCCGTCTTTTATATTTTACAAAACAATTGGGTAATAATAAATGTTTTATCATTTAATATACGGGAAATATAGTTTTTTTTTTTAATTTCGGTAATTTTTCTTTAATATAGTAAAAAATATAACCCGCAGTGGTGAATAAATACCACCAAAAGAAATCTCAATCTGTCCCTAAAAAATGGTATAAAATTCATTTCAGTACAGCATTGCATGACGGAATAAATGTCAGTCAAAGTACCGCAGCGCTGAATACTGAAAAATGGCCTGGATGGGAAGGGGGTTTAACACCGCGGACTTCAACTGGTTAAAGCATTTATGAAATTTTACTGACTGAATTTAGATCTAATTTAAGCATCTCTTTGCAATGAAAGCTAATTGCATAATAATGTATGTTTAATGCAAGTTTATGTGTTTTGACGCCCACATAGGGCGAAAACACATATAAGCCTTATGCAGTATTGCATGCCAAAAAATGAGCATTACTGCATATGCATATGTGTGAAAAGGATATTGTTCTCCTGGAGCACTACAATGCAGGAAAAATGTAAATACTGGAGTGCTGAGTTGGTCATACACTGTTAGAATTTCTTTTTTATGTTTGTTCGAAATCACCAGAGCATTTGATCTTACCAACTAATTTTGTTTAAAAACCCTTACAAATTCCACCCAGACTGACTACTTGATTGGAATTCCAGACTTATTAAACAGGTTTCTTTTGTGCCTAGCACATGCGCATTACAATATGTAAAATGTTTCTGAATGAAAATCACATTCACTATTAGAATTTCATTTGATCAGAAACAAGAAACTATTTCCATCCCACTCATTCAATTTTCCTTGTCACTATGGTCGGAAATGAATGTCAATTAGCTCCCACTAACCATTAGAACCCACTAACCAAACATTAACGTTCCAAAAACAATTTTTTTTTAACTGAATGTTATTGGTGTATGGCCAGCTTTAGACTGGCCAAAGACATGACCAGCGTATGTAAGCTTATCTTGGCTGCTTGGGGCCCCATGGCCATTAGCTCATTGTCCGATCCAGCTAAATATAGCACAATCAGAAGATTTTCATCTAATTTTATTAGCACTTTTCCAGTACTGAAAAAGCATGAAAATCTGTGTCCTGCATCGCATGAAACTTCTTGAGATGGTGAGAGGTTTCACAGGGACAACCAATCACAATTCATCTTTGTTTAAATTTGTTGTTGCCGTTAGGAGAATGAAAGCCAGCACCCGCTTAGTTGTCTGTATGGAAGTGAGCCCTCACATGCAGTCATTGAGAACTCTTGACTGTTTAACATGCAAATACTCCAGTGCTAACAAGACCCCAGTGACAATCATAGCAGTGTTATTACAGATTACCTTCAGTTAGGAGACCATCATTTATTCCGTTTTTATTTCTGCCCAGTGTAGAAATTGTTAATCCTTTTAGCCTGTACTAAGGCATGCAGAGAGAGCATGTCCACTTAAAGCCGACACAACAAGGGATTTTACTAATCAGATAAAACGCCGGAGCCCAGCGCAGCAAAGATTGACAGTTGGATTATTCAGTGGCAGCAACTTGTAACTGTTGCCTGTTATTTTAGAATTGCAGGTGGTATCAGACACTGATGAGGACATGGAAGGAGTTCCGCCTCTGCCGCCTCCACCTTCTGAAACGATCATGGACAACAGCGAGCAGGAAACAAAGTATCGCTCTCTCTGCAAAGTCTAACACAGTGAAGTTTGGGATCTGTGCTTAAAACATTTTCAAAAAATTGTTATGTTTTGTTTGAGGATTGTGTATTAAACTGAAAAACTGTGTATGTCAACTTAACTGCGGTCCTTGATTTGTCTGCAGAAAACAGGTTTCTCTTTGCATCATGTGGGCATTCGTTGTTAAAGTGACTAAGCCACAAAGAAATAAAAAATATCTGTAAAGAAGAGAGTGAATACCTCCCCTTGTTGTTTAACACCGCTCTGATGAAGGAAGGATCACTGACACACGTCTCTTTAGAAAATGACAGGAGTGTCGATTTCTTGTGTCCCTGTGCAGGACACAGTGAAGATGTAGAGGTCGGTGGTAGGGACCACCTAGCACAGCAGGGGGATCTACCCTTTTAAGATTCAACCCAGAGTTGAATTAAGGCAGAATGGGACCCTAGGCAAAGTGGCAACTTTGGCCCCCTATCCCTTCAGCTGACATTGATAAGATTTGCATTTGGCACAAGGAAGCTGAATTTAACTATTGATACTTGCATGGCCTCTCCCCATAAAACACCAACTTCCAAGTGCATCCTCCCTTTAAATGTGACAGATTACTACACATTTTTGGCCAATTATGCAATCCCCCTGGCTACTGCAGGAGTATGTAGGTTGTAGCGGGTTCCCCCTGGACATCCACTTGGCCCTTGTCTTGTAGATGATCTAGCTCTTTTCAGCACAATCTGACACTAGAACTTGCTCAGGTGGGTCTCCTGTACCAGGAAGGTGGCCAGAAAGCATGAATTGGCGAGTATACCATTCTGTCTGGATTGGCAGAAGACATGAAAAAATAGGTAAAGTGATAGTGTCTTTAACATCAATTTCTAGGGATGTCCCGATACAGGGCATTTTGACAAGTACTTGTACTTGTCAAAATGCCCCGAAGCCTAGCGCCGAAGCTTGCGCTATGTTTTTTTTTTATACATGAGGGGATGTACTTGTACTTGTATTTGGGCCTGAAAAAGTGGCATCGGGACATCCCTATCAATTTCTTAATGACATTCCTGATAGTGGTACATGAAAGAAGGAAATGTTTCTATATTTTTAAAGCTAGGCCTCATGCACACAGCAATGAAAATACTTGAGTCCGGGTGCCTTTGGAGCTCACTTCTACACGCAGCTGGAAGCATGTAATGCTTTGCTATGGCTGAAGGCACACTCAGATGTTTAGTAGTGTCTAGATAGATTCAGTCTAGCTGGGTTTACGCAAACAAGAATTTCTGCATCCTGGGACTGTTTAGCCTGGTTTTACGTGCTAAACGCTTGTAAACACACCTAAACGCGACTAAACCCAGGAACATCTAAACACAGGAAACTGTGATCTGGGAAGCATAATAGTTGTATATACAGTACTTCCCAGTGTGTTTAACACAGGCAGCCTGTGTGCATGAGGCCGTTTTTGGAGCTCCTCATTAAACTGGTTAAAGAAGGCAATAACTGCTGATGGAACTTCTTGGAATGTCCATAAAGTCTCTCCATTGAGGTTAATCTTCATGAGCAGCTCTGGCCAGGAACTGTGGTACAACTTTAGCTGCACATTTTTCCAACTCCTCACACCAGGGCACATATCTAACACCAACCCACATGGGGGTAGCTTTCCTCACTTGCCACTCACTGGTGCCGGTCAACCTCTAGAGGAGCTAAGAACATAGCACTTGTCACACTAGGCTAAACCAAGTCTGTATAGGAGCAAAATGTTTGGACACAGCCATTCCTCTCACAGGTGCTGTTGTCAACCTCAAGTAAACATCAAGAATGCCCAGTGCAACAGACCTCCTTGTTTCAATTTCAGACACAATTATGCTACCAGGATTCTTAAATCTGCTGGCCAGGCTCCAACCCCAAGATGCCACGCTCCCATCCCAACTCATGTTGAGGATCTGTCAGACAGGAAGGAACACCACAATGATGAGTAGAAGAGCAGACTTAAAAAAAATAGTTCTCACTTTGCTTATTAAATTCATCCTGTGCTGTCATGACCAAGCATTGGAATACTAACAGTTGCTGCTCTTTTTTCACATTCCCAGCTCTATTACAGAATGCTGAAAATTGTCAGGAGCTCATGATCCTGCTTTGCGCCTAAACCATGGATATGGTAATTTAAGAAAGGTGTACCCTGAGTGAATTTTATGATTCATTGTAACAATAACCTAGACACTAACAGACTTGGTGCTAACATTTTACATTATCTAATTAATGAATTGCTGCTTTTGCTTCAAACACTCTTTGTGGCAACAGATTTCTTGTACTTGCATATGGTTTAAATTTAAGTCAGAACTTTGGTTTTGGATGGCCACCTTCCCACTTGGAAGAATAAATAAATAATATACTTACCTTTCTATCAATGGCCTTCTCTTCTCCTGTGTAGTGGGTGGTTCTTACTATTGCACTGAGCAGCGCACAAAAAATGATGTTCCATGCGGCAGTAGACTGGCATGATAATGCACCCTCAGGGCCGTGGGCCCATGACAGCCTGAGCTCACAGGAAGTGAGATGCATGACGCTGGCTGTCATCCTTCCGAGAAGAGGAGTGCCATCTGCTGGAGAAGCAGACTATCAGCAGGGCAAGCGCTGTATTGAAAGCAAGTGTTGCAACAAAAACTGCTTTTTTATTTTTAATAATGCTAGGCCATCTATTTTGTATTCCAAACATTGAAGTTCTACTTAAAGGAATAAACTTATGGATTGAAATTTCGACTCTATTGCTACAAATCGTTTTAAGTGCTTCCTAAAGTGTTGTGGATAGTAAGCAAACCTTCTTCCACTCTATATAACTTGCACCAAGCCATTGTTGAATGCCTAGCAAGTGCAGCCTTACAAATCTCCAGCCTCTTTCCCCATCTCCACAGCAGTGTTGCCCTAGAAACCTGTTAAATTCCCCTAAACAAACTGCTATATATCAACACCTTGTTCTCGTAGTCTCTGGTTTAATTACAGTTACACAGTTTGGCACTTCTTTCAAATTTCTTTCCAAAGAGAGGAATTTTCCCCCTTTAGTAATGAATTGGCTTAATTAGTAAGTAGATTAATGGCAGTTGCTGGTGAGGCGGATTCCAGCAGAGTTATACCAGAGAGGGTTAATAGGAGTCAGTTCTGGAATCTTTCCCAGAACTGGCGTCAAGCCATAGCCAATAACAGTCTAAACCTACAGAATCTGGCCAATATAGTGGCTGCCTTATCACCTGCATTAACGTAGGTGTGCTCCGAAGCAATGCTGTGCTCCATGACCCTCTCCTATATGTTTTAGTCACACTTGGAAACCTAATGCAAAAGTTTGATTCCAGACGCAAAAGTTTTTAAACTAAGGGAATCACTTAGTATGCACAGACACAATGCGATGTCTATAGCTATTGTGCCTTATGGCAATCTATAGGATAAGACGGAGTGCCTGAATTCTCCACTTGTGTTCCATTTTCAAGTAATTTTCCAGTTATAAAATGCTCTCATTCCCAGCTGCAATGGGCTTGCAAGTATAAAATTCCCTGCTGTGAACTGCCTATAATGGGCTAAAAAAAAAAAAAGGGGGGATCGACTGGACAGCAAAGTAATTAATGCTAAAAAGAGATGTGAGGTTGGTTTTTATAGTTTGCCTTTTGAAAATATCAAGAAGGAAGCTGGTGAAAAATGACGCATGTTTTAGCATTTGAGAAAGCCGCCAGCAAGGAAAAGCTCGCTCCTTTCTCACTTTAAGCTCTGCAACAAAAGGAGGGTCGGGGGGGACTAGCACGATGGCAATCAGTTCTATGTCTGAGCACATTAAGTGCATGATGGAAACATATTGTATAGAGATAGTTTGGACTCTAGGCATGAAAGAGAAAGGGTGCTTTGATCAGCTCCCTGGGGTCCAGAGTGAGCACACATTCACTTGCATGGTCTCATTCAGCTACAGCGAGACTCACATTTGAAAGAAATTTGCATATCTGTAATTTATCACATTTGTCTTGATCATTTTTTGCTGTGTAAATAAAAGTTTACGGAAAAAAAAGAAACCTAGGATACGGGGCAAGCCCGTCTCTGTGCTGTGTTCTGGTGAATTTATAAATGGAGGAAAGCTTCTCGAAGTTTACTTTTTTATTTAAAGAGGCTTATTGTTTCTTATTTCTTGTTTGTTGCTATTCTGAATATTATTAACCCAGAGATTAGATTAAAAGAAAATTGAGCAAACGCTGCACAGAAATGCTCAGATGTACGTGCAGAATGGCTTACTTAGTCAAGGTGAACAAAAGACATGTGTCCATTAAATTCAACCAAAAAAGTGTAAATACAAAAAATTATAAACTTGTAGTTGATCCAGAACAAGGCAAAAACGTTAATATGGCCCAGTTTCCTTCAAAAGATGGACAAATTCCTTGTGACTTATTCTTTCACTTACATTGGATCAGGGCACAGTTTTTAGTGGGATTGGAAGAAATTTCCACAAGCTCCAAGCTTAAAGATCAAAGTACGTACACTATATGGCCAAATGGTTGTGGACACTTGACCATCACCCAATTATGAGCTGGTTGGTCATTCCATTCCATAACCATTGACATTAATATGGAGTTGCTAACTTTGTGGCTTAACAGCCTCCACCCTTCAAAAAAGGCTTTCCACAAGACTTTGGAGTGTGTCTAGAATGTGTGCCCATGTGTGCCCATTCAGACAAAACAGCATTTGTGAGGTCAGGTATGATGCTGGATGTGAAGACCTAGCTTTCGGTCTACATTTCCATTTATCCCAAAGGTGTTCAATACGATTGAGGTCAGGGAGGGCTTTGTGCAAGCCACTTGAGCTCCTTCACCACAACCTCATCAAACTATGGGGTCTATTCACGAAGCAGCCGAAGGATCTAACAGTAGCTTCGGCCGATCCTTCGGCTAGCTTCGGCCCAAGGACCCCTTCGGTTCAGTAGAACAGAAGGGCTGCTGTACGGGCTATTTATTATAGCCCAACGCAGAGAGATCAGCGTCCCTGATTACCAGCTAACCAGGG